TTTTAAAGTTTATTCTCAGCCAGGAATGATGATGCACACCTGTCATCCCAGTACCCTGGGAGGTTAAGGTAGGAGGATCACAAATTCAAGCCCAGCTTGGCTAATTTAGATACAGATCAAGACCTTGTATTAAAATGAAGAAGACTGGTGATAGAGTTTAGTGTAAATCCTCAGTAACACACACACACACACACACACCACCACCACCACCACCACCACCACCACCACCACCACCACCACCACATGACAGAGGGAGAGAGGAGAGAGATTTTAAGGTCCTGGATCATGTGATTGTTGGGGTAACTGCTGAATGAATGGGAACCTCACAACGAAAGGCAGGATAGCAGGATAGGAGAGCAGTATGGACACACAGAGGAGGATTAGTACTGAGTCTTGAGTCTACACAGGCAGTCAAAAGGCACAATTCATTTGTTTTCAAGGACTATCCCCATTTTTAAGGCCTTCAATTGATTGGATGAGGCCCATTTGTAGGACAAAAGGCAACTTCTTTACTCAAAGTGCACTATTTCAAATCTTACTCAAATCCAATAATAATAATAAGAAGAAAACCTCACAGCAATATCTAGAATGGTGTGTGATGGTATGTGATCAAGCTTTTATTTTTGATATCAACATTTCTATATGTATAGTTCAATTTTTTTTTGTGGTACTAGGATTGAACTCAGGACCTTGTGCTTGCCAGGCAAGCACATATTCTACTGAGCTATCTCCCCAGCCCTTATAGTTTAAATTGTTACCAGGCATTCTTGAATCACCAGTTGTCTATCCTTATTTGTGTAGTAGTTTTCTAAATCACTGGAAAAGTATTTTTTTTTAGTAAGGGTCTACAGGTTCTCAGGGTCTCACTATGTAGATCAGACTCATAGTAATCCACCTATGTTCAGCCTCTTAAACAGCTAGGATTACAGGCATGTGCCACCATACCCAGAATCAATCGCCATCTCAATGTACCCTGTGGGCGGGGCTGGCATGGCAGGCCTGGAATTGAACCTCTGACCCCTGTGTCTTCCTAAGTAGGCGCTGTAATCTGCTTAGCTATTTGGCTGGCCAATCATTAGTAAATATTCAATAGGAGAAACAAAATCTTAAGTGTCAGGTTTCAATTTGCAATCTACCATCTTGACTTTTTAAAAGAAACTTTATGTTTAACATCCCTTCAACAAGGATTGTATTGAAAAGGGATTTCACCAATTTGAATAAAATCAAGAGAGTAAAAAAAGCTAAGATTTAAACATATAATTATTCAAGGTCATGAATGTTCTTCTTTATAATAGGCTGATATTTCTGCTTTTCAAGATACAGAGCTAGAAATAACGGTTTTCCTCTACAAGTTTTATGCTTATTATTTTGCTTTTCCCTGTGTCTTTATAACTGACAAAATGGATCACTCAGAGAAAGGAGCTAAGTATTCATTCCCTGGTCAAGGGCAAACAGAAAAGGGTCTTTATCTCTGACCACTTGATCTATATTTCAGTATTGTCACTTCCCCATCTACCTGCCCTGTGTCTGAAGCATCCTCTCAGAGTTTTTATTCAAAAACTCACCTTAGAGGAGCTCCTCTTCTGCCCTACCTGGGGATCATGTGAATCTGTGGGTGTCCATGCCCTAGGATGCTGGTTGCTACTCTTGGATTTATTCAAAATTTGTTGGTTCATTGGCAAATGGGACACAGCTGGCTTCTGATTTAGAGAGTGCCTTAAACCAGTTACCTCCTACCTTAACTTGATCATTTAAATGGAAAGCACTACTGCTCCAACAGAGCAGAAATGATATAAAAACCATTTCTGACATGAGTATCTAGCCTTGTGAATTGCCATGGCTACTACTGCCTCTGAGGAGAAAAAATAAAAACTAAGAACAGTTTTCATGATTCTCGCAAGTAAACTCACTTTGCATTACTTAAGAAAAGCTTTAAACGTGCAATGAGTATTCTTAGGCTAATGACAATTGATGTCCAGAACATTACAATAACCCAATGAAATAGAATAGCATTTTGGAAAGTGGCAATTTGTGTAGAAATTGCTGATAGCATCAACACATGCTGGGAACTTTACATATAAGTGGGCTACAGCTTGGGCTGAGGAGATGTTTATTTGGTCTTTCATTTGTAAGGAAGACCACATTCTTTTCCCTCCAGGGAAGAGCTAGGGCAGTTATTAGTCTAGGAACACCTAAAGCAGTTGATCTGGGATCAACATTTCAGGTTTTAGGATTTAGGGCATCTCAATAAGTCATTTAGGATGACTACAGCATTCTGTAGTTGACTACATCTGCATCACAAGTCCAAATATTTGGATGGAGTCCTTACTGTACTATCCATAGTTTAAGTTTTCATAATGACTCCTTACAAAGACTTCCAGGATCTGGTCTGAAGCACCTCTGGAGCTTGATTTTAGGTTCTTTACTGCTTACCTGCTAAATTCCAGCCCCACGTTACCCGCAAGCCCCATCCAAAGGCACATTTCTGTCTTTTGCTGTCCCTTCTGATAAGAATGCTTTCCCCCCAGATACAGGCTGGCATATTTTGAGCAGATCCAAACATGTTAAAGGTATTCTAAAAAGGCTTGCCCATGATTTTCCTGATTGATCCTAACAATATTAAATGAACTGGAGAGTGATATATCATAGAATAAGCAAAAGAGTCAGGGAATGGAGTAGAGACAGGATTGGAACTTAGCTAGGCTGGCAGGAAGGTAAAGCTTTAATAGTAAGCATTCGGAAGGGACGCTGTCTTTGTTATTTTTCTTGTCACTGAGGCAAAGCACCTGACACCCAAAGTTAAAGGGTGAAACATTTATTTACCTCACAGCTTGTAAATGTTTCTGTCCATAATTTGCTGGCTCCAAGGAAGGGTGGCATCGAAGAGGAGAAACAGTTCAAGACAGGTGGAAGACAGCAAAACAACAAGGGAGAACCAGAGCTATTTCTATCCTTTATATCTTGTCCAGGCCCCTTAGAGTGGGTGGCACCCACACCCTTCATGCTAGTGTCCTTGTTCCTAGCATTGCGGCATGAATCAATCCCAGCACCACATACTCTAGATCTACCAATGAAAAGCCCCACCTATGACTTCCTGAAGCTGTGGGGGGACATATAGAGCTAGTCCTTACAGACACAAAGCTCAAGTTATAGTTTATATTCCATTAACCTCAGAGCTCTTTTGTGAAGAGTATTCTTTTAAAAGTAGAACTCCTGTAACTTTATTCTTTTACTCTGGTTTGTATTTCTCTACAGTACCAGTTATCTTCCAGTCTCATACTGCTTATCTGTTTATTTTTTTCTACCTCCCCCACAAGAATGTGTGTTCTATAAAAGAATGGCCTTCTTCTAGTCAAAATCATTATTGTCCCTCCATCCAGTTCAGCTCCTGATCTGAATTGAAAGGAATGAAAAATCTGGCAAATAATGGAATGCACTGAAGTAAAGCCTGAAGTTGACTTACAATAATTTACCATGCTTAAAATATTTAGTTAATCAGACTTTTACTGAGCATCCACTTTTCTGCCAGACTATAAGCTAGATTTTGGAGAAATGAAGGTGCACAAGAACCTCCAGTCTTCTTGAGTTTGGAACACCAGGGAAGAAGCAAGTAACTACTGGACAAAGAGAGGAGTATAAGCATCTTTCTAGAGGAAGTTCAGCACATATGACAGGAAAAAGGGCTTCAGGAACACAGCTTGGAGAAGGAGATGCTCCTGCTGATGTCAGGAGGGTGAACTGCTGGGACAGGAGAAGTGGTGGGAGAGCACTAGGGCAGAGGGGCAGGAGGCAGAGCACACAGTCCTGTGCTGACCACAGCTCAGCGTGACTGTGGGACTTTTGTGAAAGCAGGTTCAACACCCTGACAGCATCAGGAACTGAGGATCAGTCATTAGTCATCAGGTGTGTTCAAAGGTACTCCAAGAGCTCTATCCTCTGAGCCATATGATGCCACCAAAGAATTCCTACATCAATGGGATTTTTATTATTTGATTTGTTGGAATTCCTTTAACCGGGTCATTGGCGCTACAGCCATTTTACAGATGGGCCCACTGAGGCCCACGATGGCACATTGAAAACACTGGAAAAGTTGATTTAATTTCCTTAATTACTGTGTTGTCCGGTCTCCTTCTGCCATCTCCCCTCTCTCCCTCCCTCTCTCAGTCCTTCAGCAGCAGCTGCTGGCTGCAGGGGCTGCAGGGCTCCCAAAGGAATGTGGGCACAGCGTCCGTCCGGGTGCTCTGTTCTTGGTTAGGGAGCTGGATGTACCAAAATCCTTTTGTTCGAAAAGGTGACTCCAGGCTGGGGGAGCGAGCCCAGCTCCTGGAGCTCCGCGCGGTCTCCCACGCTCCGGGCACGCGCCAGCACTCCCAGCACAACACAGCTGGCGCGGCTAATTTTAGCCTCGCTGCCTCCTTGAAAAGAGACCCTTTAAGGAAGTACATTTTCTCAGAAACAATCCGTATTATAATGTAGCAGCTGATAGACATGTCGGAATATTATTATTGGTGCAGAGAGAGAGAGAGAGAGGGAAAAAAAAACTCCGCTAAGTAATTATGAATTTTTTGTTCTTTTCTTTTGAAGATATCCGTAAAGCAATGAAAGCACCCATGAATCAAAATAATCATAAAGAAAGAGACAACGGGGGAAAGATTTTATTCATAAAGAAGCTTAGAAACCTAAGGGATCACTTCTTTTGATTTTTTTTTTTTCTTTTCAAAATGGATGTAAGTGCTAGAATTATTTCTCGTATATTAAGGTAATGAGTCCACTCGGATCGTGCATGGCTGGTTACTAGAAGTGGTGGAGTAGAGTCTAAAAATCTCTTCACTACTCCGAATCTTCCAGGAAGTAAAACGTTAGTTTCTCCACCAGGTCTGGTGCTCTTCTGGCGTGTGCGTGCGTTAACAGGTTTTGAAAGTGCCCCAGACACTGTTCTCCACCGAACCGGCAAGGTTAGTTTCTCTAGCTTTATTACTATTATTTTCCCTGTTCTCCTGCTTCCTCCCTCATCTTCTTTTCCCTCCCGTGGTCTTCCGTGTTTTGCTTAGCAGTGTGGCTTACCTCGAACTTGGCAGGAAAGGAAAAGCAGGCGGCTCTGGTGCGGGGTAGAAGGAGGGAGGGATGCGAAGGAATCCGCCGCCCCCTGCAACTGAGTTCTCCAGTTTCTGTTCAGCGGCAGCAGCTTGGCTGCAGAAATCAGTTTGCTATTCGAGATAGCCAGCAGAGGGAATCGGAACTTTGCTTGCAGCAGGGGTTGAAGCAGCTTTTTTTTTTTTTTTTTTTTTCTTGGAGGAAATGCTGCAGCCTTCTGGACTGCGTACACTGCTCCCCGGAGAGGCTCTCTCGGTTCCACCCACTGGCTGGAAGGAGGGGAAGTGAATGAAAGGACAGGACAAGCCCCGAACACCATGTCACTCTGGGAGGGAGACAGCAGCAACTAAGCTGTGCACGGTTTTCTTTTCTTTTCTTTTTTTTTTTTTTCTTTTCTTTTTCTTTTTTCCCTTTTCTTTTATTTCTCTTTTGTTTCTTTCTTTCTCTTCTTTTTTTTTTTTCTTTCTTTTCTTTTTCTTTAAGGTTGGGAAAGAGACAAACAGGAGACAGGAAGCAGACCTACGAGGATTTGGAGTTGTGCTAAAAGGAGTTTGATTTTTTTTTTTTTTTTTTCTCCCTTTACAAACGCTGGCAATTGACATCGCTACAGACAGCCTGGTTAGAAAACACACTGCCTCATCCCAAGCAGACCCTGGCAGCCGGAGAAGCTCGCAAGATCTGAGGAAGCTGTCTGCCTGGCTTTTTTTTTTTTTTCCCTACAGATTCCACTCCCCACCTTTTTTGGCGGCGTGTGTTTTTGTTTTGTTTTGCTGTTTCAATTCTTACCTTGTTGGAACTAGCGAGTGGTGGAGTCTCGGAAGCCTCATCCGTCATCGGGACTGTCAGGAATAGTGGTTTAAGAGGAAGCTCGGCCTGGGGCACTATACCCTGTCATCCAGTTCCCTGCTCGGAGATAAAGATTCCAGCTACATGGGCAAACGCTTGGACCAGCCACAAATGTACCCCCAGTACACTTACTACTACCCTCATTATCTCCAGACCAAGGTATGACTCGACCCCCGGTCTGGCGATCCGTGCGGTGTGTGCTGCGCTTGGGGCGGGAAGCAGGCAGGAGTGCGGTTCATTATTTCACCTTCACCCCATCACCCCTTTCTGCTTCTTTGCAATTAGGAACATGCCAGTGGAGTTAATGAGGCAGTGGAAGACATAAGAGGAAAGCACCATACCCGGAATTGTGGCTTTCTCTTTAAGGGCAGATAATAGTTTCACTGGAGTTCCTTTGTTGGTATTTGGCAGCATAAATGCGCCTGATATCTGTAAAGTCCTTTGCAAATGGGCAGGGCTTTTAGAAAGGAGATCACAATAGTGATTATCAGGCATGAGAACATAATGTCAGGGGCTTTTCTGGTGAGCTGTTCTTTGTTTGTGGCTCTGTAAGGGTTTTTCCCACTGGAGAGTGTGCCAGGGTGGGGGCTGCTCAAACTTTTCATCCCTGAGTGCAGAATGAGAGAAGAGGGTGGGAAGGCATAAGGGACCTAAGGAAGTCTGTCCGAGTTTGTTGGGGTGTTGCTGTTTTTACATTTTCTGTTGTCTTTCAGACTTTATTTTATATTGAATGGCTAGGATGCTGGAGACTGAATTAAGAACTTTATTATCTATGGTCTTTACTTTTAGACTATTTTTCTGTGTTAGCTGCCATGAGGAGGGCTGGGTCTTGAACAGGCGTGGAATGTAACAGATAATAATTGAATTTTAATTGCTCTGTGTGTGTGTGTGTGTGTGTGTGTGTGTGTGTGTGTGTGTGTGTTTAACTGATCACAGGGCCCAGAGGCAAGCCCACATAACTAAGCAGTAGACAGTGCCAACCCAGAACTTTATCTTGCAGTTACGACATGAAAGACTCTCAGGTGTGAAATCACAGTCCCAATTTGTCAATTAAATTTGACCTGGTGTGTGTGTGGGGGGGTGGTAGTGTAACACCTCCAGTGCATGAGTAATATTATTTTCTGCTGCTCTAGCTAGACCCCACCATCTTCTGAATAAATAAATAGGCTGAGAGTGAACAAGGTGTGCCCGAGGGATCCACTGTCACCAGGTCTCAATGATGTGACTAGCTTTTGGTAATTCATGCCGTAGTGATCTCTCATTTATTCTAGCTCTTGAAACAATAGCTATTTGTAAAGAATACCTATTTGTAAAACAAGGCAGGAGACTTTCAGTATTACAATAAAAATTGTTGCATGTGTATATACATTTTTTTCTTTTTTTTTTTTTTTTCAATTTTTCTGTGCTCTACGCTGCACCTCCAAGGTCGACTCACATTGCATTTTGCCTTTGTGAGCATTTAGTTTGTGCTGCTGTTGCTGCTGCTGTTGTGCTTTAATAGCCCAGCCTTCCTGCTCAGTGCCTTGAGTTTTAACTCTTTGGGGGATTGGGTAGAGAATGCTGCCTGCCATTCCTTAAGGAAATGGCAAAGCAAGGACAAGTTACAAAGGGGAAATTCACAGCCATTTTTCATCCCCCAAAGAAATGAAAACAATAAGCTCAAGACTTGCCTGAAAAAAATATTGGACATTCCATCCCTTTTTCTCATTTGACTAAATTTTTTCAAATGTTTAAAACATCGTTTATTTTGTTGTTTTGGTCTTTGTTTTCTACTACTGTGTGTATTTGGAAAAGAAACTTCAAATGGAAATGAATGAAATGATTGCTTTTCTGCTTGCACTTTCTTAACTATTATTAGCAGGAAATAAATACTTTGCATATTATATGAAAGAAACTGGGTTCGAGATGAGTTACTCCAGTAGAAAGGATGTGCGTGTGTGTGTGTGTGTGTGTGTGTGTGTGTGTGTATTTGAAGTAAAGCAGGAGTATCAGTGGTGTGAGAAAAGAGCTAAAAAATAGAGGGGAAATTTTCAAATATTGGTTTTGGAGTCCCCTGCAGTTTAGGATTGTGTAGACAAGCAACATCTGGATCTTGTTACTTGCAAACCAGCCAAAGCCATCAACTTCAGGAATATTCTTAAAGAAGTTAGGTCCATTAGGCGTCTTAAGCTGATATTCAAGTAATTAGATCAGGGTCGTTGGGAATATGAGATCAGCTCCTTTGGCTATCATGGTAGTACACATTGATTATTATGTTGTAAAATTTCCACAGAGCTGTGAAGTTGTTGAGTACTGTTGTGGTGCCTCTAGAATGGCAGATAGTAACATTCTGGAAGATGAAGATGTAAAAATGTGCCTTGTTTTGAAAGTTGGGTTCAGAGGGAGTTAGACAAATGTCAATATGCAACAATATTTTATCATTTGGAGACTTGGGCAAGGTTAGTCCTACACAGTGAAGCTCTATCATGAGCCAGTTTAAGAGGAAAATAGCTGAGTTATTTCGGTATTATTTTTTGCTCCTGCTATACTTATATCTCAAAATATAGTTTATAATATAATTTTAAAGGAAGAATATTCTACTTGTATTTATTTGATAAGTTTGAGTGGAATTTTAAAAATCTACTGGTCTAAGCTTGGCTTGTAGTTATAATTCAGTTTTAAATTCTTAGCTATTTAAAATGATTTTCACATATAAATAGTACTTTAGGTTTCTAGAAATATAATTCTATGATCAAAAAATCATATTCTGGGTTATTATACCTTAAAGTGTAATCTAAGTCTGGTAGGGTTTTCTCTTCCCAACCCATATCAGATGTTTAATAAAATTTGTTGGTTTGGGTTTTTAAGTTTTACTTTGTTTTCAGTATGTGTTACTATGAGATGTTTAAAGAGTTAAACTAATTATACTTACTTAGAAAATGCAAAACATTGAACTTTCTACTTAGCTTAATGTACAATACAATTGTAATTTTTATGATAGAGCAAAATGGAAATGAAAGGCTAAAAATAAAAGCAACTGTTCTCCTTTCTTTCGAGTACATATTCTACTTTCAGGGAGACCTGTGACACTTCTTTGCCTCCTTTGCCTCTACTTCCCTTTACATTAAAAGCAGTCTTTCGGTTATGCATTGGATAATGGAAATAAGATATTTACACATCAAGTTCTTGAATTCTATTCCAAATGTGCCAATGTTTTATTTTAGAAAAATCTGCATGTAAGCTGAGCAACATGCAAACTCTGAGGCTTCTATGTAGCTGATTTATACCAATATTGCTACAGGCCGCTCACTTTCACACTTCGTATCTTGAAAGATTTTCTTTTCGACTAACATCTTCTATCAAAATAAAACAATTTTAAGAATGAGTGTTGCTTTTTATTCAGATTAGTGAGAAATATTAGTGACATACTATATAGCAGACATCACTTGACTCAAAAGAAATGTATTGAAGCAAATTTGAGTAGTGGGAAAATTTTAGAAAAAAGAGGCCCCCCAAATAGGTCAGCAACAAAACACAAAATGACACTTAATAAACTGTTACCAAATATTTTTTACTTATAGCAAAAATCAACCTGTTGCTGTGAGATAGTGAAGTCCCGGTTAAATAATTTCACTCTGAATTTGAGACTTGACATGGTTTTTCTGAAAACACAAACTAGTTAAGGAGGAAAGCAAAAAAAAAAAAAAAGTAAAATTGGTCAAAGCCTAGTGAATTGATATGTTGAAGTTAGACACTGTCATATTTGGAAAACTTCAGCTGTCTTCATACAACTTGATGTCATCCAAGCACACAAGCACACTCCTTTCTTCTTAGTCCACCTGACCTGCCTATGCAGTGCACAGTTCCTGACTATGCTGGTTTTACATCACTACTGCATTCTCTTCTTTGGCTGTCTGGTTCCCCTAAAAAGTCCTGAAGTAAGGAGAGCAGCTAAGGAGGCCCTTAGGATATGTTTTCCTTAGTATTTGTGTGGAGATCCTTGTACGAATGTATGAAGAAGGGGTCAGGTGTAAAGAGTAATCCATCAACTGCAGGCCGATTTCAGGCTGGAGTTTCGCCATCTGCAGCCTGGACTGCCTCCAACGCTAAGAATCTAGCAGGAGTCGGACAGGCTGTGCCACAGAAAGCGCAAACACTTGAAAACGCAAAAAGTGAGAAGCAGGAAAAAAAAAAGTAAAGGAGCTCTGGTGGGGTAAATGGTCAAAAAATATTCTTGTAAAGATGTGAATGTTCAGCTCCCTCAAAACAAAACAAAGCCCCCCATAGCACAGTCCTTACATATGAAAATGCAGAAAATCTTGCTGGTGGGGGTGGTGGTAAGTTTAAAATTCCTTTAGTACTTCCTGCCTGGGATTCCTATTGATAGCCACAGTTGGTAACTTGCCAGTTGTTTTAAAGTTCTGTTTTTCTTTAAAAGCTTGAAACATATAAAACTGGTTTTCTAAAATTCTTCCAGTGATTCAATTTTTTAGGTTTAACTCCAGATATTTTCTTTTGCTTCAGGCAAAACGGTACGATAGCATGAAACTATGATAAATCTTGTTTGTCTCATTTTAGAATGTATAGAATTTTAATTGGTTTTAAATAAGACAAAAATAGAAACATGGAACCACCCTCCCCTTATCTTTGATTCTTTACTTTCTCAAATCTTTACCTGGGATCCATTTCACTGTCTTTTTCATGATCTAGGCATTTTTTGTGATGCAGAAATGTCACAACATGAAGTTTAGTGGTGATTTAAAATGAATAGAAATGTAGAAAGTTCATATTTTTTTTCTAGAATAAATCCAAGCTATAGGGAAATACCATGAACATTTCCTTTAACAGCATCTTCTTAGAGAATTTTCCTTTCACTTTCCTTCAATTTGGAAAAAAAAAA